AAAAAAATACCTGGTAAAATTACAGACCCTGCAAAAAATTACTTTGTTACTAAACCCCTCTATAACAGAACACATCAGTTTACTGCAGTTAATGGCACCACAGCTAGTTTATGTTTGMAGTACAAAATAATAAAGTATTATGTTGTATCTTTATCTTCATCCAAAGGGACAAATGAATGAGTTGTATCACTCAGCTGTGCAACAGCCTGAAGAGCTGCTGTGTACGACATCAAACTGCCAAAAGCAGTTTTTTTTGTACACATTGCTGCAAAATCCATCTTTGCAAAAGGAAAAACTGAAGTACACYGACTTACTTTTTCTAATAAAACCAATTCAAATTTGCTGCCACAACTAATGAACACTAAGAAACACCAAAAAATAAATAAATAAATAAATATAACTTCATCAGTTTTACACATACTGACATAATTGTGGCAGTTGAGACTGATCCCGACACATTTTCTGAGTCTGAGTACATTTTCCAGGCTGCGCAAGATCTGTTTAAAATTTGATAATTTTTGTACTTATTTATAAACTAAACCTTTTTTCATACGTCTGTTTGGAGAAACAATAAAAATCACACTGAATTCAAAAATGAATGAATGCTATAGTTATTATTTTTTAATATACTTTATTGATCAAAAATGAACCTAGATAATAATCATGGGAACACTCACAAATAAGAGTAAAAATACTGACAGTATTTATAAAGAGTGTTTTGTATACATTTAAAAATGTTTTAATGTTATGTATTTAAATACTACAGTGTAGTAATTATTATGAAAATAAATTGTTATTTCACAGAAACAATCAAAGAAAAGATTAATATTACTGTTTCCAGAGGAAAAGCATCATTGTTGCTTGATTTTGGATGAGGATTAAAGTCTAGAGGTTTGATCGAGTCAGCCAAGGAAACTCCTGCAAAGACAAACATAACAAAATATAAATAAAAAAAACAAAATTAAGCTTTTGTGGTATCAGCTGATTACAGAATCCAACAAATCAACATAAACTTGGTTGACTGAAAACAAATTTGTCTTCAGTCCGATCATAATAAGAGGGACGACATTCCAGGCAAGACGACAGATCTTTCTGTCGTGGACACAGACCTCAGAACAACCTTCAACTCTGTCTGCAAAGTGTTGCGTGGATACATTCAACATAAACAAAGAGGGCTACGCTTTCTAATTATGGGAGCCCTGAAATAGAAGGGTCAGGTTGGTGTGAGATGTAGGGATTGAGAGAGTGGAGCACCTGGAGCCGATAGAATAATGCTCAGGATGGTATTTCAGTCACAAAGTACTGTGAGGATGATGAGGGCTTGATGCTGTTGATTTTAATCACAACTGGCTTTAGTTCTTTAGGCTTCTGACCAGCTAACTAACCCCCTAGATCTAAAYTTGATGCAACGCCTGTGGGACGTTCAGGATTAAATCTAATCCACGGCACTCCCTTTAATTGAAACCACGTGAACCAAAAGATTTGCTGCAACAACCGGATCAGTGATCAGCATTGCATCTTCTCTCACATCTAGTCAAGAACTCTGAAATGTAGATYGATCAAATTTGGTTCGAGGCGACGCAAGATGTCAATCATTAGAACAAGGGGAATATTTTTGATGTTATGATCGCAACTTTAAAAAGGTAAAAACTCAAAGTTGGATTTTGGAAACATCAGACTCCCTGCATTAAACAGGTTCCCTTTCATCATCTGAGAGCAGACAGAACTTCGGATTCAGACGTGAATGTTACGCTGGCTACAAAAAGTTGTTGTTTCAAAGTTTGGCCACAAGGTGGGGTTGTTTTCCTCCAAATACAAGGAGGTTCTACAGAACAGCTGGAGTGTGCAGACACCACGTGACCGTGTGATCGGCTGTAGAAGCTAACGGCTAACGCAAAAC